ACTAAAGCTGGTACATCACATATATATTTATATATATATTCTGACTAAAAAGTAACACTAGAGGGCTAAACACGCCCCACTATTTTTATATATGTAATTTATATTTTAGACAATGAAGAAGAAGGCGAAACGAGAGAGGTGGTTTATTCAGGCAACAGCAAGCGAGAAAGAGCAATGCTTATTCACTTCGGTCCTATTTGTAGCCAGAAAATCATTGTGTGAATCCTGAGCAGCGATTGAGTTACAGATATCGCAGTGCAGAGAGATTGCAGGAAAAGAGTGACATAGCATGCGGCACAGTGACGCAGCAAAGCGTATCCTCTGACGCGTTGATGCTTTTAATTAAAATTCACAAGTCTGAAGATCTATTGGCAATTGATTCCAATTTAGTAATCTTTTTCATATTTTATAGTTAACAGATATATATGTATGTGAGTGCGTGTGTATGTGTACATATGCTTGTATAAGCCCTAAATTATTAATTTGAAAACAAACCTGTAGTATTTCAGGAAAAATAATGATTTATAAAAGAAGAAGCAAGCGCATGTTTACGTAATTTTCGGATATAACTTCACTTATTTCAGAATTATTCTTTGCAGTAAAACATTAGTAACATATTATTGTTATTAAGCAAACTGATTTTTTTTTTTAAATTTTGATATGATAAACTCTGTATTTCCGGAACAAAATTATTTCATATCCCTTCATCACGAAACTAATCCGTTACACATATAGAAAAATATAAATATGGAATCGTTTTACTCCATATTTTTTAAAGCTTAACATGTATTTGGTCCACGTAAACTAAGATAAACTTGTACAGTCGTACTTGTTTTGGTAACATACACTAAGTCAAGATCCCTATATAGACTTAAACCACTTATCGCTATATTTTAGATCAGCGGTCGCCAACCGGTGGTCCACGGACCACTGGTGGTCAGTGAAAACGTTTTGATGGTTCGCAGAAAAATTGGGACATTATTTATATTTTTACGAAGATTCATTTTAAAAAATGACGAGTAACAAAACCTATTATGGAATATGGATTATACTTCTTTTTTAAACTTTAGCTACTACTTTTAGCGAAATTCTATCTGAATTTAGCGACTTTTTAGCTACTTTTGCATGTGTATCTAGCGACATTTGAAAGTGAGAGCTGGCATCCATGGATATGCTGCTGTTATCAATAATAGCGCAAACTCGAATTCTCTTTCTTTTTGAATTACAAACACATGCTATTGTAGTCGTTAATAATACAGTATTTCTCCGTTTCAGTAGGAAACTTGATGGATTTTTATGAGAACCATCTGCATTCTTGTTTATAATTGCATCACTGAATGTTTCCGTTATTGTTTTATCTAACTGTTGATCGATGGCGCCATTACTGAGTAAGCGATGATTATTATGTTTACAATAATTAAAAATTGGCGGCATATCACTTTCAGTTTATATATTGCTTTGCGTTTGCCGGTTTCTTCTTGCTTTTCGTGAAGTTCCTTTGTGGGGATATGGAAATGTGAAGCTTTCTGTACAAGAAGGTAATGTTTTTGTACTTTTTATATAATTTTTCAATGTGATCTAAATATGTTTATCAGTGAGACGTAAATAGTGTTTTACTTGTTACTCATAATCAGGGCCGTAGCCTGAATTTTCATAAAGGGTGCTGAATGTTTCGTAAATTATATTAACAAATGAAAACTAGAATTACATGAATTGGAATGTTGAATATTGTTTTTGGGTATTAATATGTTGTTTTTAAGGTCTGATTTAAGTTTTTGAATTCATATTAGTGGTCCTCCAAATATAAAATTATATATGTAATAGTCCGTGAAGTTCTAAGAGTTGAAGAACAACTGTTCTAGATAAGCAATCAAAAACTTATTAAGGATGTAAAGACCCTTTTATTAAGAATTCAGTAAGTTGAACAGAAGGCATTTTCAGTTCTTACAAACCAGCCAGCATTTATGGTGTGAATTGGAAAGTAGAATTTTAATTTAACACTAAATCGAAGTCTTAATTAGCCAAACGCTACACAAAGGTATTTAAATGAGCAAGTTGGCTTTTAATTTACACCTGCAGCACTATTAATAAGATATTAAAACAGCGCTGTAGATAGGAACGGTTACCTTAGACTATCAACTAGCATTGTGGCCTTCAGCAGGCAGAACACGCTCTGACTAAAGCAATCTCAAATACTTACTTAAATACACGCTAGCTAAATTTGCATTCTAGCAAGAAAACTAAGAAGGAGTAATGACAGAATAGATTCGTAACATAAAAGTACTAGTTAATTAACATAAATACCTTAAAAACTATTAAAGTGAAATTAAAAAGTATTACAAGGATTTATAAAGAAACCATATTAATGATCAGGGCTTACATAATCAAAATGAGAAATAATAAGTAGTATTTTTTCCACATCTATTATTTTAAGTTACATCACATGGGGTTTGGTTTCCCTTCTGTGTTCTTAATTCTGATATTTTTAATTGATTTACAATTGAAAATAGAACATATTTTTTTACCTGTGGTATCATGTCTTCCAACATCGAAATGTTGAATTTGTTGAAAACGAAATCATCATCCGACTGATTCGTTTCATTTAAGGAATCCATAGGATCATCTTGTGAAATCTAGAAAGCAGAATTGTAAAACTAATTATCAATAATATAAGCAATTACCATATTAACAGATATCAAAAGTACAATCAATACATATATATATATATATATACATATATTGTTGCATTTTTCTTTTTTCTGACACCAGTTGTTACGTTATTTTCTACCTTCACGTTCGTACAGGGTTCGTGTGGATTTGAAATGAATAATGAGGACACTTGATGATGAAGTATCGAAACATACTTTATTTAGCCAATATTAATCAGGAAAGATCTAAAACACTTTTACAGTCGTCGAAGATCTACTATACACTCGCTGAACAATCAGCGACACAGCCTTCACACTGTCAGGCAACATCGGTGGAAACAGCTTCACTGCAAAGCACCAGAGTACAGCTCCCGACTCTGTTCGGTCGTTCTCGGAACTCCACGCACTCTCGAGACTCTCCACGCTATAACTCGCGATGCACTCGACGACACACAGAGCACAGCTCCCGACTCTTCGGTTCACTCGTTCCCGGAGGTTAACACACTCTCTCGACGAACCACTAACCGCGATACACTACGAGACTCTTTCAGTGCACTCGACGACCCACTCGGCACTCGCTGCCCGGCTGTTAACTCGATCGACTCCGCAGGGATTGACTCGCTAGACGGGACACCAACTCGATACTAACTAACTCGCACTCCAGACGAGGCACTCTGACTCGCACTTTCGATAAGCACACTCTAACTCAATGCTCCGCAACCGGTGTGCCATGAGTAGGATATAGGTGTGCCGCAATCAAATACATGTATTTGACATTTTGCAATTTTTTTATCATGTATTTAATACACAATGACAATTTTTTTTCCTTAATAATGTCTAGTTTAAATGTTTTTATATATGTCACTGTTGTGTGTTGTGTGTGGTTGATTGTAAGTGTGTCAGCATTTGAATTTTTTTTCGGCACTTCCTTGATAACTCGGAACTCAAAAATATATAACTTTTTTTAAACATAAATTTAAACGAAATATATTGGTTTCAGACCATTTTAATAAAAATAATAGCGCTAAAACTCTAAAACTGTTTTTTTTTAATTTGAAATAAATCAATTAAATTGAAGAATTTTTGTTTTTTAATTTTTTTAAAAAATTTCGCAGTCAATATAACAAAAATGGTATACAAAATTACTTGATTGCGTTGTCAGATATGAGCCGAATATCAAACTTTTGTGTTCATTGAAGCAAGCGCAGGTATCACTTGATATTATTATATTGCATATAAATAAATATGTTATGGTTTTATAATTGTATATTTTTCAAATTAAAAACAAAAATTTATTGTAAATTTTGTGTATAAATAAATACATATATACATTAGCTTTTGGTGTGCCACGAAATTCCAGAAAGATTTTTTGTGCGTCGCAGGTGAGAAAAGGTTCAGCAAGGTTTATATAGCTTTCCGCTTGTATTCGTGAACATTCTCTGCTAAACCGGTGAGAATTCGTTCCAGAAAGTTATCCATTCGTCCATGGCATATCGCCAATTTTGTCGCCAAATGGGCGATTTCTCGCCAAATGTGGAAACCCTGCTCTCCAATGCCTTCTCTTCTTTATGGCAACCCTTAAACTGCTTTGCGAGGAAGCCATCTTACCGCCCCTGTACATTTCATAACAATATATATATATATATATATATATATAAGCGAAGTCCAGCGTCACTTGAGCTTAATTTTTTGGCAGAATGGTTGGCACTGTGATTGCTTTGAGAATTTATAATCCAGATAAAGTCATATTTTTCCTTTCAAGATTTTTCATTTTTTATTACTCACGTTTGATACTGCATTAGAATTTTTCTAATTACTTTTACGTTATTAATCACCTCAATATTTGATATAAATTCCATTAACTAGCCCATGTTAGGGTTCACACCAGTCTTATTCTGCTAACCAAGTCGAATTAATCAGTTTTCACTTTCAAAAAAGTGTTGCTTTACTGTTTTCAGTTGTAAGAACTAACTATTCTTTTTTCTATATATTTTTGTATCCATTTCCATGTTTTGAATGAATTATGTTAACATGGATTCATTTATTAAACACAGTCTGCTTGGAAATTTTCAGAATTTTAAGCTATTTATGGTTTTAATGCTATAATTTTGCGATCATTGCACGACTTACTCCTTCTTCCAGAGGTCGGATTGATAAAGCCACGAATTACTTTTATTTAGTTTCTGAAATTAATTTAAATATTTATCTCTAATGCATAATTTTTATTGCTATCAATTCAGAAACAGGATGATGATTTACTTCAATCGTTGCACCAACCCCTGACGAAGTTGTGTTTGCTTTTTCTATTACTATTTTCATTTTTGTTGTTTAAAATGTTTTTGCACCTTTCATGCAATATGCAACTGTGCTTCTGTTTTTTATTATCGCATAATATTTGCTTCGGACTGAAAGTGGGATGGATTTAAATGCTTTAATAATTCGGTATGCATTATTGCCGCTACTTGATGCTACTATCAGCACGGTACTGTATTATGTTTTGAAATGCTTTTAACTTTGCATGTATTCATCTTTCTATTAGCCAGGCCTATTGCTTACGCCCCATTTTGCTAGAAGTTTTTTTAAAAGTTTGGCTTTTAAAACTTCTGCATCTTTATTTGGAATATATGCACTACTTTGTTTTGGGATTTTTCTCTCTTTTTGCTTTTTGGCACAGTTGCTTAACCACTAGTAGTGTTCACTAGCGGCTAGTGAGCTGAATATAGCTTTTTGCAGTATTAAGTCCAATCATCTCAGTATTGATTTAGTTATTATTCATGGCTCGTATCAAATATGTTAACAATGTTAATTGTAAAAATTCCAACTAATTGAACTGTGATGGCAATGATACAGCTTCCAGTGTATCTGCAAATTCTGAACAAACACTTTTAAAAGCCTTTGATCCTTTGTAGTGTTGTTAACTTAAAATACACTCATGTCCATAAATTAAGGATAATTCGGAGTCACGCGGAAATCGAACTCTAAAATAAATATATCACCTGTAAAATCACTACACTTATCTTCAGGAATCATATGCAAATTTCAGGAAGTAACCAGATGACACCGATGGTACGTCACAATGACGAGAGTGTAAGAGAGTGATATATAAGGAATACAGGAAAAGAAGTAAAACTGTTCGCAGGCGCTTTATAAGCATTTAAGGCCAATAACCGAATAGTTATGACATAAAGGACGCATTTGGATGATTTTTTACGTGGTAGAATTATCGGCCGTCTGGAATGTGGGCGTACCCTACTGGAAGTATCAGACGAACTTGGAATTGTCCAGAGTGTCAGCTCCAGGCTTTGGCGACGATTCCAAGATGACGGTAATGTGAGTAGACGTTACAGCACAGGTCGCCCCAGAGTTATAACGCCGAATGAAGACCGGTATTTGGCAGTTACTGCCAAAAGAAACAGGCGGAGCACAGCTTCAGATCTGTCTCGTCAGCTCTCTTCAGCCACTGGTACGACAATTTCAAGACAGACCGTGTACAGACGCTTAGGGCAGATTGGTCTATATACTCGTAGACCTGTCAGATGCGTTTCCACTTACTACTGCAACTCGCCTGCGGTTACCCTGGAGTAGAGAGCATGCATTGTGGACACCGCAACAGTGGGCTTGTGTGATGTTTTTCCGACGAGTCCAGGTTTAGCTTGCAGTCTGATTCTCTCCGGACTTTCATATGGAGAGCTCCAGGGACCCGTTACCACCAAGAAAACATCATTGAACGACACCGTTACGGTGGTGCAGGAGTGCTCGTTTGGGGTGGAATTATTCTGGGTTCCAGAACTGACCTGCATGTTCAAATTGGAACCATGACAAGCGAAATCTTTCGGGACGTCATTCTGGAACAATATATACGTTTGTTTCGGGGCGCCATAGGCGCACAATTTGTGTTTAAAGATGACAACGCCCGTCCTCACCGTGCAAACATCGTAAGCAAATGCTTTCAATCGGAGGATATCACCCGTATGGACTGGTCAGCATTCTCACCGGAATTGAATCCAGTAGAGCACGTGGGGGACATGCTTGGCCGACGAGTTGCAGCCCGTCAACATCCTCCTACATGTCTACCGGAACTTCGGAGAGCATTGCGTTTTGAGTGATGTAATATCCCCCAAGATCAGATCGATAATTTGATACTCAGCATGCCTGGGCGTTGTACGGACTGTATTGCATCGTCTGGTGGACATACAATGTATTAACAATCATACCAACCATGTAATATTGGTTTTTTGTAAATACTTTTTTTTTTTTTTTTTTTTTTTTTTTTTTTTTTTTTTTTTTGTAATTTGCTCCAGGGAAAAAAATCGCTAATTTTTTTAATAATATCAAACATATAGCATCTTTTTTTGCTCTTTACCTTATAACGTTGCGCGCCTCTAACTAGCACGCAACCAAGAGGTGACTGTGAAAGCTTGTATAAACCACAGAGTCTTATAAAGGGTTTAAGTCCCTTTTTATTCAACGTAACTAAATTTACAATTGCGTTCTCTTGACGCTTACAACGGTGCCAACTCGGCAGTCAAAATAAAAATAAAACCTGAAAAGAAATAAAGACAAGATTCTAACTACGAGGCTCTCTAAAATAACTAACTCACCGCGTTTTACAAATACCGCTGCTAATTCAGCAGACTTGAAGCTCACTGGAACAATTGCAACTACTTCCCGCCAAGCACATAGGCCGCAACGCGGGGTTTTTCAAATCTCTATAACTACCTCCGCGCTCGCTAAGTAAGAAGAATAACTCTCTCTCACCGAACTTGTTTCCTTCTATTTAAATCATACTACTTCCGCTGATAATTTGAATGCTTGCGCGTTCTACTCAAATTTACATATTCTGGCATTGGCAGTTCCAGGGGAAAGTAAGGCTTGACAGGAAAGATAGTTTAAACTTAAAATAAATGTTAGTTAAAATAAATATAAACCCTACATTTGCCGCTGCCAGAATTTGGAAAACTTGGAAGCAGGTCCTACAAACGACC